CTTTCACCTCATCCTCCTCATATGGATCGTCCGCATCATCATCCGAATACGGTGCCTCAGCCATCGCACCTTGCTCCTCCCGCCAAGGCGCCGCTGCACGCTCATGCTCCTCCTCCTCGTCATCCTCACAACCATCGCCAGGATGCTCGTCATCATGTGCTTCCTCCTCTTCATCCACCTCCTGTTGCTCATGCGCCGCATCCTCTGCGTCTGGCTCGTCCATCTCCTCGCGCTCCTCGTGCTCCTCGTCGCGCTCTTCGAGGTCCCTCTCACCCTCCTAACTGCATACAGCCACACTAAGCAAAAACACATGCAGCAAACTATTGGCCAAAACAAACAGCATACACAAGTTTGAGGTCTGACAAACAAAATTACAAACAAAGCTGCAAGGCCCCAAGACTGCTCAAACAGTGTCTGCCGAGATTCCATCTTCACTGTCCACTGCCCCCAATCCTCTTCGTCCTGGGCCTCGTCGTCCTGGGCCTTGTCGTCCTGCGCCGCCGCCCACCAAACGCCGCGCCAGCAAACTTGTCTCTGCCAGGGTTGCCAGCTGCTCATTCAACAGCGCCGGGAACAGGACAAACGCAAAGGTTAAAAACAAAAACTGTGTACTGTGTGCGTGAGGTTGTATGATGCTCTTGTTATCATGCTATAGCGCGAGGTTGTATGTTGCTATCTTGATATGTTGCACGATATCCTGAGATGGCTCTGCAGCTCTGCATGTTTGTGCATGGATATGTATATAGTATGTATGGTTACTCAGGTACTTTGCATGGTTCGCATCGTTGCGCATGCAAATACCATACCAAATGCATATATACATATAAACCCATATAATGCAAAGTTAATCAGGCCGCAGCCTCCAGCCGGGCCAACAAGCAATGAATCCCCCCAAAGGGGGAAAAAACCACTCAGTGTAATGGCAAGTAGTGTGTGTGTGGGGTGTGGCATGTAAAACACAAACAATGTCAAAACCCAGCGTCCGAGCCATCCGTCTGCAGACCACATGACGAACACAGTTCAAGGTTCACACGTTCACGATTCCTCAAAACAAGCAATGAGTATAGAGTCGCATAAAATGGGTTTGGTGTTGAACATTTGTTGAGAGTTTGTCAAAGTCCAAGTCACTGCACCAATGCTTGCCGCCATGTCACAGGACCCGCAACAACAAGTGTCCCACTCACCATCCTCGCCTCCGTCGTCTCATTCCGCAGGCAGCATGCTCCAACGGGGTGTTGCATCCTGCGTAACCGATTGTGAATACCAAGGTCCTCGATCACGGCATTGATTTCCGCCCAAAAATCATCTACGAATGAGGGCAATTCGTTCAAATACGAAGAAATACCGCAAATGCAACAAAGCTCATCTGATATTGCTTTGCAATCGGCTAACCGTTTAACGTTGCCTAAAATTCGCGCATGGGTCCCGACCGGATCGGGGTGAGGATTCTCGCAGCGCCAAGAGTGGTCGTAGGCGGTGATGCCATTGCGGCCCATGAGATCGTTGCCATTCCACCAAATCATCCCAAATTGTCGGTCAAGCAGAAGTTTTCAACAAAGATGCACTAGCACTTTACGCGCAGAGGAGAGTCACAGATTAATCAACAGTTCAATCAGAAAAGTTAAAAGGCGTGGTCACCAGCTGCGTCTTATAATGTGCCCAGGCGCCCCAAGGCAGGTACATTTGCGCGTCCATACGTTCACGGTCTTCGTTGGTCACGCCAGAGCCGTGAAAGTGGACCCAGAACCCCCTGCGGATCTGTACAAGATGAGGTGCAATGTGGTCATTCCCCTTGGATGCAGGAGGTGACACACTTAGTCACAGGTTCATCCAGTACCATAGTCGACGTCAAAAGGAGTGATGGAACAGCAAGGCGACGAGGTCAGGTCACTTGAATCTGTTGAACAATTGTTTCAAAAAGCCAGCAAGGAACTAGCAGAAAACGGCGGCGGCGCAGCTGCAGTCAGCGGGAAAAGGTTTTGGGGACTATAATGAAAGACCATGAAATCAAAAAGTCGGCAGCAGGGTGGACCAGTGGAGTCAGTGTGTTGTCGAGCAGGTGCAGGATCAAGCGTCCTTGATCCCTTCCCATCTGTGATCATGCGATCATAGCTTCGTTGCGTGCAGTAGATCACAGATGCTGCACGCCCCTGCGATCTTAGCGGCAAAAAAACGTTCTCTTGGAAACAGAGTGTGGCACACACACAAACATGGCCGCTTTGCGGCGCAAAACCTCAATAGTCACCTAACAAGCCTTAGAAAAGAAAGTAAAAGAAAAGGGAAAAACGAAGAGCGCAGGAGAAAAAGGTAGGTGTAATGGCGTGCAGGTCTGCCGCACGAGCGGCAAATTACGGGTCAGAACCTGAGTAGATACCTAAAACGCCTTAGAAAAGAAAGAAAGACAGAAAAAGCAAAACCACAAGGGCAAGAAAGTTAGGAAAAAGCGACTACTTAGCACTTGACTACTTAGCTCTTGACTTGAAAGAGAAAAATTTCATTACAAACCTAAAAAGCCTCCAAGCCTCTAGCAGAAAGGCAGACCTAGAAAGAGAAACGAACGTGCAGGAGAGGATCAAACAAACAAACCGAACCCGAGGGGCAGGGAAACGAGCCTCAAGAACCACCTAACGAGCCTGAAAGAAAACCTAAAAAACGAAGACAGCGCAAGAGAGAAAGCGGGGGAGGAAGGGGAAGCATGCAAAATGGCAGCATGAGACATGCAAAATGCAGCATGAGAAGCGGACATGCAACATGAGCTGGGATAAAGTCCGTTGGCCCGGCGGCGTCCAGCCCGTATGCCCAGCGGCAGAAAATCGGTTGATTCATGGGTGAGACAACTGCAATCCCAAAAACCTGATCCACGAGTGCAAGTCACCTGAATTCAATTTGTGATTCGCGAATGGCTTCAGCGCCTCGCTTGCGAGAGGATCACACTGTGTACCCAGTGGGAAGACACAGCGATGCACACTTAGTCACAGGTTCACCCAGTACCATAGTCCACGTCAAAAGGAGTGATGGAACAGCAAGGCGACGAGGTCAGGTCACTTGAATCTGTTGAACAATTGTTTCAAAAAGCCAGCAAGGAACTAGCAGAAAACGGCGGCGGCGCAGCTGCAGTCAGCGGGAAAAGGTTTTGGGGACTATAATGAAAGACCATGAAATCAAAAAGTCGGCAGCAGGGTGGACCAGTGGAGTCAGTGTGTTGTCGAGCAGGTGCAAGATCAAGCGTCCTGGATCCCTTCCCATCTGTGATCATAGCTTCGTTGCGTGCAGTAGATCACAGATGCTGCACGCCCCTGCGACCTTAGTGGCAGCAAAACGTTCTCTTGGAAACACAGTGTGACACACTTAGACAATGGGTTTGCAGTCACATCAATTCCCCGAGGAAATGAATGAGGGAAACGCACGGTGGTGAAGTCAGCTCACTTGGAAAGTTTAACAAAGTGTTAAGTGGAAAAAGTGGAAAAGCCAAATTTTGATCCTGAAAGTCACTCTCACGGAAGCATATCCGTATACCCGGCGGTGAAGTATTACCGTATACTCGGCAGTTTCAAGTCAGGAAATTCAGTGGGTGAGACGAAAATCAGAAAAGATAATCCAACGCGTGCAGAAAGCAGCCATTTCAGTTAAGTGGTAGTCCGGCATGAAGTCGGCGCCCCAGTGACGGGGATCACACCCTGCACCCAGTGGGACGACAGAGCGGCACACACGCGACCAAAACCGACATCCTCCAAAGCAAAGGCTACCACCATATGGTCTGATCCTGTGTTGGGTTGTAAGGAGATCAAATCGTCCTTGAGCTTCTAGCGGAAACTTTCTACAACTTGCTGACTGGAGAAAAGCCGGCACGGTTTTTGCGAGCGATGCCATCAAACCACCTCGCTGTTATGGTTCCATCATCATCTTTGACTTGCAAGCACTCTGACTCAAAATAATCTGCGAACTCTTGACCTGCCAAGAATCACAAAAAAACATTGCTTTTTCCAGGCCGGGGAAAAGCAAATTGGAAGCCTGAACCAAATTGCTGTTTCGAGGCCCTGGAAGAAGCAAATTGGAAGCCTGAACCAAGTTGCTTTTTACAGGCCCGGGAAAAAGCAAATTGGAAGCCTGCGCCAAATTGTTTTAAAAAAAAGCACCACAGCTGTCAGGTATACAGATTTCATATTCTTTCCAAACTCTCACAAGTCAATTTGGTCTAGTGGTATCACCCCCCAGCTCTGAAGCCAAAGGTCCAGGTCTCAACTTGTCCTATGAAGCCTCAACCCCGGGAAAAAACAAATTGGAAGCCTGAACCAAGTTGCTTTTACCAGGCCCGGGAAAAAGCCAACAGAAACCAAATTGGAAGCCTGAACTAAATTGCTTTTTCAGGCCTGGGAAAAACAAATTGCTTCCGGCTGCTGTCAGGGTTAGTGTCCGCAGGTGTCGTGGTTAGGGACTTGCAGTCGGGGTTGGTGACTTTACAGCGTGGTTATGGTACACTTAGTCGGGGTTGAGGATTGTAAAGTGTAGTTAGGTACAGGTCTCCCTCATGGGGAGTGTTGTGAGTCCCCACCGAGTGCTCCTGTGCTATTCCTGTGCTGAGGCCTCTGGCTCTCGTTGTGTGCGGTATGCAGCATCTTTTGACCACGTCGCATTTACAAGCTTGTGCCAAAAACGATCCGGGACCTAAGAAAGAGCACATCCAGCACAGCACATTGGAGCTGCCCCAAGACGTCAAGAGTAGGCAACCCACCTTGAATTCTTAAGGGCCGGTGGTCAGACATCCCTGCTCGCATCTGTCGCCAAAGCCCTGAACGGCCGTTGCCCGGGTCAGACCCTGGTGTCAAATGAGCAGATTCCTCTATATTGTTCAACCGAAACCAAGTAGATGACTAGGTTCAACTTGGGTTCACCAGGGTTCAACCAATTCCTCAACCGTTCAACCTTGGGTTCAACCGAAACCAAGGTTAGGTGCAGGGTTGGGACCCGACCCAGTCCCTTTCATCCACTCAGTCCGAGACAGGTCCGGCCACCACGAAGAGGCCTTCCGCGACCGCCATGAGCGCCTGGAACGTGGAGAGGCGGTTCTTCGGGTCCAAACCAAGTTCCAGAGCAACGACTCGGACGAGAGTCGACGTCCGTCCATGAGCACTGACAGTGCTCCCTTCTGAGAGGTTGGTTGAACAGCCCCTTCTGTCGCCAAACAAGTGGCCCTACCTGTACATGCAAATGACTGCCAAAAGTTGTCCGTACGGCCTTGACTGCTTTTTTTGGTCGTTACGGTTTACAGGCAGTTGATGGGTTTCCCATTGTCTGCCGAAATTTACTTCTATATATCACTTGACATCAATTGACCCTCTTTTTATGTCATTACGGCCTGCCGCCCAAACTTGCTTGGCCACTTCGCCATATACGCCATAATGACTGATTTTTGGTGGTTGAACGCAGTTCCAGGTATATTTATATATGTATCACTACCAGAATAGTAGAGGTTGGTTGGTTGAGCATAGAGGTTGGCTGAACAACCCTTTTGTTTCCCATCCCTATATGTACCGCAGACCAGGGTCCGAACGTTCAGCTCTCTCTGTCTCAACCTCTCAACCGCTCTTTCTTCGCGCCGGGGTCGAAAGGGTCCACGTGAAGAACCCGCCAGTACCGAGTCAGACGCCCTAGCCCGTCGACTTGTAAAAAACCAATTCCAAGACCCAGGTGAGTGGGTTCCTGTCGTAGTTTTTCGCCCCATCCGACGTCGGGGGCTTTGGGGGTCAATGTAGGCACATATGGCAGTCCCATGCCCTAGAAGTCCAAAGACTATATTTTGACTGACTGAAGTAGTGTCACCTAGTCAGACCATTCTTTTTATAGTTGACTTGACTCCCAGGGCATGGAGCGTCCGGGTTTTTTGTGTGTTGACCGACTGTTACAGGGTCAGTGCACATAGACCCAACGGATTGCCGTCTTCTTCACTGGAGACTCCCTCCTCCACGTCATATCAACCTATCTCATCCTATCACTCTTTTTTAAAGCTGAGCAGCTTATTTTAGGGGTTGGTGTTCAAGCGGATTCTGCCACAAAGTGGGAGATACCAAAAAGCGGAGATCCTCGGATTTCTGATCGCGTTGCGTTGGATTGCCAGGAAAAGCATTGCATTGCATTGGATTCCCAGAAAGCCCAGCCAAGAAAGGTGGATTTTGCTTGCTTTCAAGTAGTTGGCAAAACCCAAGGATCCTTGAAGTGATCTCCATCATATGGGTGTGGCCAGAAACCCTGGTATGGATCGTTCCGCGCTGCAGTGAGAGTGATCCAAACCCTATGGATCAGAGCGCTGATCCAAGCCCTATGGATCAAACCGACAAGTCACTTGATCCAAGCCCCCAACATGAACACATCTGCATGGTGGCACTTCACCCCACCACTTTCTCACCAATTCACTGTGAAGGTGGTGGCTTCCCAGATCAAAGCCATCCTGTTTGCGGCAAGCCTGTTTTGAAGTTCTGGCCGCTGTGAATTTGGGCTCCACTGTCCACATATTGGGCAATCAGCTGGCCGCGCATATTGGTGACTCAGTGGGCTTTCAAGACATTTAACAGGTGGTGGCTTCAGCTCTAGGTTGGAGGCGCACTCCGAAAACTGATTTAGTGGGTGCCGCTAATTCTGTTTGGCCTTAATATTGTGGTCTAACACCTTCTTTAATATGGGTTAGTTGGGTTGGCTCCTCCACTCAAAGGGTTGCATAGCCTAATGGTAAAAGCGTCGGTCTCCAATTCTTCACTTCCACACCCCAGAACACACACACCCCAGAACCCTCTGATCTATCGATATCAACGACTCTCCAAGTCGTTGCGATGCTATACTTCTCAACACCCTCCCAGCTTCCCCAGGTCTCGGGCCCCGGCAATGGGCAGCTTCACCGGCACATCGCGCGGATGGAGCGATGGGAGGGGGACGAGAGGGGAGAACAGACTTGCCAGGTCTTCGCTTCTTGCTTAATGCTGATTTGTGGTCAAAGCATGTCAAAGCAGCTTTCTTGTGAAACGAAGGAATTCACAGCAAGTTACCGTATGAACCTTCTCTATCCTTCTCGAGAGGGCTCAAGTTGACTGAAGTGTGAAGTCCCAGCCGAATCGGCAGGGAATCCCCCCAAACAGATCTGCGCAGCACGTCCAGTGTTGGAGGCTGGTGGCCTCGTTGGCCCGATTTCTTCGGCTTGTTTGTTCTGAGGAGAAGATCTTGGCTGGGATAGATCTGGGCCCAGGAGAGGGATTTTGCAGAGGGATTTGAGACTACAAAGCTACAGGTAAACCATTCTTTCAACACTCCATGGGACTGGCATCAATTCACCCCTGAAACCACCCCAACTGATTGGCAGTCCTATGGCAGTCCCATGTGTCGTGTCTAGGATTCTTTCAACACTCTTTTAAAGGCAAAAGGTAAACCCCCCCGCAGGTCTCCAAGCGGAGGTTTAACCATGGATTTGTACGGCTCACCATTGGGTGGAAGAAGGCCCCAAATGGAGGCCGCGGCACTCGGCTTCGCCCCGCGACGTGACGTGTTCATCTTCGGGGTCCACGGACCCGTCCATCCGTTCACGAACGGTTGGGTCGCCAGCTCCTTTGGGCCCAAGCAAAGGTGGAGCCATCCCAGGGCGCCCTCTTCCCTTCCTTCCCGGACACTTCCCGGACACTTGGACCAAAACCTGTGGGTGGGGTATTCTTGGAGCCACACCTAAATGGTTGAACTCATACCCTGTGGCTGCCAAGGGCGCTGCCAAGGGCACATCATACCCTGTGGCTGCGAAGAGCTAGAGGCTAGAGTCAATGAGGACAAACACATTTTCACGTACGGCCACTACCAGTACCACTGCCGTAAAGAAAATCAAACAATCGACTACATGTTCTTGCCCACTGGACGCCGATCTGCACATGGTCTTTGGATGTCTTTGGTTTTCCTCCAATGGGTCGCCCCATCGCCCCATCCAACTTGCGGCATTCGCCGATTTTCGCCGCTGAATTTCGAGAAGATTCACATGGAACTGGATAGCCCCAACGTGTCCTCATGGTTCCTCAACCCCAACGTGGCTTCAGGAGGTTTCTGGGGCGAATGGATTTCGTCTCTTCAGATGATGCTTTGGGTCCATCCCATGGACCCGGGGGGGCCATGTGCAATTCCAGCAAAGGTTGAAAGACCATATAATATAGGACCCGGAAAACCTGGGGTACCCTAGCCTGGGATAGTCGAAGCAGTCGGGTTCTGACCCACCTCTGTTGGAATTGATTATAGGGCCTTTCCACCGCTGCACGCACCGCTCCACGCACCGCTCCGCGCACCTCGCCCAGCTCTTCGGCGGACGCCTCCGCCAGAGCCGAGGACCTCGGGACGGAAGGCGATTTCCGTGGCGAGCCGAGGCATCGGAGGCATCTGCGGTCGGTCCACAGGGGACTTCAGAAAGACCAGAACCAGAGGAAACCATGTCAACGACTCCAAAAACGGATCATAGAATAGGCCATCTGAGCAATAGGATCATGGAATAAAGGTAGACTGAAGCAACATGGGATTTTAAAGTGGTTGAGTGGTTACCAACAGAGGTGGGTAACCCTAGTTCGACAATCCCAGTCTGGTACTCCAGGTTTTCCGGGTCCTATGGTCCCGGCCACTGGCTACCTCTCTTGGAGCCAAACATGGCGGACTCGCTTCACCTTCTACGGTTTCGAGTCCGGGCGGTTGAAGATGAAACGCTTCGAAGTTGAAAGGCTTCGATCAACGACGCCGGGAGTTTTCTTTTCTTTTTCGGCGTGTTTGGCCTTCAGGTACCAGTTAGGTCTTTTTTTGAAGAGACCACGCAGAGACATGTCTGTACAAAAAGCACTCCATGTCTCATGAAGCGATCCTTGACTTCTGTGTTGGCCAACAGAGGTAGCCAGTGACCGGGACCATAGGACCCGGGAAACCTGGGTACCCTGGCCTGGGATAGCCGAAGCAGTCGGGTTCTGACCCACCTCTGTTGGATATGAGGTTGTGGAGAATGCTCACATTGAGCGATGAATCTCATCCTTACAATGGCTTTCTAGCCTTAGCAGAAGACTGGTCTGCGACCATGCGAATGTGGACCCATATATAAATGTCCAGTGCCATCTACGAGTACTACTCTGAAACCAGACTGTCCAACCCAAACAACGTTGCTGCCGCGCCACAGGCTGCCCATGGCAGCAAGAGCTTGCTTGTTTCGGGCTTTGGTGAAGCGAATGTGCGAATGTGCTATCTCGGGCCATGGCAAACCCTGCCAAGACTTTCAAATGATGCTTGTATACCTGGATGTGCCCTGTCTATGCCAAATTCCTGCCTAGCTTGGCAGTTCTTTGAAAAGGCAGAAGTTGGTCACAGCTGCAAGATCCAGGTGTGTGACTTCCTATGGTTTATTCAGAGGGTCCCCCCAAAGCTGATCAAAAATGGCCAGTTCGAGTTGTGGCTCTTTAGCTAACTCTGTTCGATTTTGAAAACTCTCTCTTCACAATCTTCCAACTAAGGATTCAATGCCTTAGCCCTTAGCCTTCTGTTCGACCATTTTGACACATGTTGAACTGGTCTAAACAGGTCGTTTCACAGCACTCAAAACGCCATTGGTGGGTGGATGTCTCAGACATCCCTCGAACCGAATTCCACCGACCGCGGCACCCAAGAGATCCCAAGAGGATGGTTTCACCGGCAAATGGTTTCTGCCAGCAGTCACAAAGGAGTGCGGACTCCATGGAGGTAGTCGGGGTGCCCCGTCGTCACATCCACGGACGAGCCACACCACCTGGTGGATGTTTTTGGGTTGATGTTGTTCATGTGCAGGTCGACTTCGGTCTTTGGAAACACCCAACGCGATTATCGTTCTTCGGGCCACGTTGGCATGTGGTTCAACCATGGTTCAACCATGCTGAAACGCCAGCATGTGGTGGGAGATTTGTGGGAATCTGGCGTGCTCACATGGCGTTTCCGGCACGGGGTTTGTCTTAACACACCAGCTGTCCCACCAGCTGGGTCTCCCATGCATCGACCGCCAGATGTCCGATGTAAGTCCGATGAGGTGGTTTTGCTCCAAAGCCGCTGAGAGGCTGAGAAAACACCATATCTAGTGACACTGGAGTTCAAAACTGATATAGCTCTTGCGTGATATCGTCGCCAACCGTTCGACTTCGGGAGATGTTTGGCATGGTTCGATGGTCCATTTCCTACGCCAGACGTGGCAGTTCGGCCTTCCGAACTGGTTGGGGGTGGCCCGAAGAAATCGGGTTTGGGACCGACTGCATCGTTGGAGTGTGGGTACCCAAAAACATCCAGAAACCATGTTCCCTAGGGCTCCAAGTACCTAAGAAGGTGGACTGGGGTGGATTTAGAGGGTCCAGTCATACCTTCTGAGGAGGTACGACTGGAGCCCTATAGCCTATAGGGCTTTGTTGAACAGCTATATCAACCAACACATCGACTGTGTATGGTGCGAGAGGTGGGGAACGGAGGGTGGGTGGATTAAAACCTGGACCCCCAAGAGGATCAGCCACAGATCTTCTGCGCGTCGTTGAGCGTCTTGTTCCTCAACACAAACCCTCACCCAAAACAGAACACGTACCAGCACCTTCAAAGTGCCCTTTTTGGAGTCTCTAAGTGACCTCATTCTAGGATCTCAAAAGGTCACTTTGAAGGTCCTGGTAAAGGACTTTGGATGCCTCGAGATCGACCACTTAGAAAACGGCTCGCAAAATGGCGCAAAGCTAGACCTGGGTTCCGCCCACACCGCCCCACGTTTGCGGCTACGCATTCTCTCACAGCTCCTCGGGCAAAGCAGCCTGTCAGGAGAGTTGAGAGGCATCAACACAGCATGGCATTCAGCATGGCCCATGGCTGTGAAGATTTCGCTGCAAGCAAAGAAAAGAGGTTTGTTGCGTTTGTTGATCATGGAAGAGAAATGGTTGGAACATGTTGACAAAACCAGGAGTCACATGGAACCCCTGGGTGGTTTGCTTCGTCCCATCCGAGGCACCCAACTCCGTTCAGGACCTCTCGGCACCCCCGAGCTACCGACGCCGCCGAGATCGCTCGGACGGTGCCACCCGCGGCGGCGGCGAGCCGTGCCACGAGGCAAGGAGAGCGTTCGAAGCGGAGGAACTCTGCCCGAGCGCTGCGACGAGCTCGACGAGCTCTGCATGCCCTTTTTCTTTGGAACGAAACCTGAGGAATGACCACCGACCAGGAGTCACGGTGCTTGAGTTGGTCCCCAAGTGAGTGGATGATGTGACGGGGGGGCACCCCGACTTCTTCCAGAAATGAAGCACACCTTTGTGACTGTTGGTATGAGCAAGATTGAACAAATAATTGCCACAAAACATCACAAAACACGGCTGCTGCTCATGACCCCCTCAAGCCACCAAAAGTCCGCATATCGCCGACTTTTCCACCCCTCCAACCCACCCAGCACATTGCCTCGGTAGCTCAAAGCGATATGCAGATATCTGCATCGCTGTCAGAGTTCCAAGTTCCATTACCAACACCCTAGAAGTCCAGTTCGACTCTATATTGACCGGCCGAAGGTTGCAGGAAGTTCCCGAACTCAGGTCCCCGTTCGTCAGATCATTCTTTCTATAGTCGACTTGACTCCCAGGGAACACACTTGAGCTCCAACCTCCCTCCCACCCACCTCTGCCCCGTCCCGCGCCACACATCGACTCGGCCTCGGGCAGTGTCACCTGCCGGCTCCGTCGCCCACCGAGCTCCGTCGGCACGAGCGAGTGTTTATTAGATGCAGAACCAACCCAGGCTCCGCCTGGTCATGTGGTGATTCATGATAACTCGACGAATCGCGCGGCTCTGCCGGCGATGCGTCATTCAAGTCTCTGACCTATCAGCTTCCGAAGCGAACGGAGAGCGTTTCGAGGGTTGGGGTGCAGGAGGTGAGCAGCACCTGCTGGTGAACAGCTTCGGCCGGTCCAAGGGGGAGGAACACACAATCCACAGGTTCCGAAGCCCAGAGTGCCGCCGAAGCCCAGCCGGTCGTCGCCGGCGGAGGCGTGCGGGTTGGGTCGGGTCTCCGGGATGGGGCGTACTCCCCCAGAGCGGGCTGAGTGAACGAGGCAAAGGAGACTGTGAATGACCGGTCACAATAGTAGAATCAAACAACAAAGCCACTTGAACATGACATCAACACCTGTCGACGGGAACAAAGAAACATATACTCTGACTCACTAAAAACTATGGTCATGGAAGTGGAAAATACATGTGTTGGTAGAGGAAAGTGGTCTTTGAAGGGAAAATCACAGGCCATCCACTTTCATGCCATGTCTTCGTCAGAGGGCACGTTTTGTGGGTGGACCCCCAAAGAGAACACGCTCTGCAGCCCGCTCTGCCGGGTCCCCCCCCACATTCGCCTCGGAATAGCCCACGGCGCCGGCGGCCTCGCCGGACGGATGCTGACCGAACGCATAGACCTTGACCCTTGAGACCATTGAAAACCCCTTGGATTTGCTGTTGGAAGCTGAGAAGACGACCATAAAATCGATGCACGAAAACGCATAGACTCGACCCTTGAGACCCTTCACCCCTTGGAGTTGCGAACATTCAGGAAGCTGGGAAAGACCTGAAAAAAAGAAAACGTCCTCCCCACAGGATGACCCTGTGGAACCGGGAACAGAACCACAAATCCACCTGAAACTCGCCAGTTGAACTGGTCGAAGCTTGATGGATGGTGCGCTGGTTCCACACAGGAGTCATCCGAGCTTGACTCATTTAAGAGAGGTAGCCGGTGACCGTGACCATAGGACACGTCACCTGGGGTATCCCGGTCCGCCTGGGGAAGCAGTCGAAGCAGTCGAGTTCACCCACCTCTGTTGGAGGGTGCAACCGTTTTTCACTTACGGCGCCGCGAGACCTTTTTGGGCCACTTTCAGCAATGCCAGGGCTTGGAAGTGGGAACCCCCAACCCCTTCAGCAAGGTTTCGTGCGGAGTTGGATGCCAATTCACGACGTATTGGCTAAAATCCAGTTAAAACAATGGTTGTTTGGAATCTCATGGATCTGGGACGAACTGGAATTTTGCTGTTGTCATTCTTTTAACCGCCTGACTCCTGACTTGTCCTTACATGCTACGAGGCGATGAATGAAGCCACATTGCCTGTGTCTTGAAACAGTTCCAAACCACCAGGTGTCTTGTAGTTTGTCGCAAAGCTGTAAGTCCCCAAATTAATTTCATGTTGTTTTCTTCTTATGCTCGTATAATTATGCTCGTTGCTCGTTGTTTTCTCAGCTTACATGCAAGTCTGCAAGGGAAACAGGTTCATGAAGTGTGAGCTTGGGCTTTGGTGACGTTTTGGACATGACATGATGCCTTCGTCTGGTTTAGGCACCGTGATCAAGAGATATCAGAATACGTCATCCGCCCTGGGTGTTGGAGAGAATTCCAGGGCGGAGCGCTGAATACGACCAGTTAACAACAAAGAAACGACGCTATTCAGGTGCAACTCCTAGTTGCTCTGTACCTCACTCTTCAGACTCTTCACTAACTGGAACATCAATGAGCAAGACTCTTAATGTAGACTCTTGATTAATAAACCCTCCCATCCAAATTGGACATGTGACATGCTCTTCAAACGAGGGTGGTTTATGGTCCTCAAGAGTCTACATTAACTGCAATGAGTCTCATCGGATAGACACTGTGTCGGACGAGAAGTGCACTGCGCCTCGGGCGGCTCTTTTCGCTGAATGCCCAGGCTGCTCGGATCCAAGGCCTCCCGGAGACCCCCGGGACACGAACACAACGACGGCGTCCTTCGTTCTCGCGGTGTCTCCGGTGACAGAGGGTTCTCCAAAACCCAGACACGACACGTCTGGGACTGCCAGCCAGGACTGCCGCCCCTGCCGCCCACCCCAAAACCACCCTAACTGATCGGCAGTCCGTCCTGCAGTCCCATGTGTCGTGTCTGGGTTTTGGAGAACAACTCGGCATCGATTGGTGGTTGAGGTGCCGGGTTGAACCCGGGTGGTGTGTGAGGGAATCGGTCTCTCTACACTTCGTGGACTTCGCCAGAGGGGCCTGACCCGACACATGGCTCGATCTTCTGCGCCCGAAGAAGAGTTTAAGACAGGTTCCTTGTTCTGAACTCCTAGAAAAACATTGCTACTTTGCAAGAAGATGAAAGATTGATACTTCGAGAGGCGTTGTTGAAGACGCCATTTTTTCAGGAATCGGGGCAAGGAAGTCGACCCTGTCACATCCACTCACCAGGCCTCACTCAACACCACCCAACTCCAATAGCAACTTAAATCAATAGCAGCATCCGGTGACCCGAAGCCTAGGTCATGAGCGAGGGCTCTCTCAGATCTATTGCACGACTCCACCACCGGTCGCCGCATGGTGACGCCCCTCCCACCGATCTAAGATAGTCCCGGTCCTCTTGGCACCCTCTGGGTCTCTTAGGTACGTTCTTCTTGAGTTTCTTTTCTTGTCTAGGACTACTTCTTAAAACAATGTCTCTTGTCCAAACTCTTGTTTGAACACTCTTTGATTTCCGGATCTTCTCTATAAGTACTTCTTGAAAGTCCTTAGGTGTCTTGTCCAAATACTTCCTTGAACATTCCCGGAATTGCTGGTCCCAATACTTCATCGAAATCCTTGGTCTTCTCAGACAAAAGATCTCACACCATTTGCCGGCACCAACTCGTCCTGATGATCCCCATCGCGCCCCACGCCCGTCTCGGACCGTCTGCCTCGGCTTCCACCAAGAGCCGCCGATCGGAGAAGGTCTCATCTAACTCTTTCTCGATCTGCACGGTGGCGGCTGAAAGGGGTTTTGGGTCTGGTATGTGGTTTGTAGGCATGGAAATAATAGTGATATGGCCCATTTGGTGAACATGGTTTTCCCAAGTTTGGTGGCTTTGTATGTGGTTTGTAGGCATTTATAGTTTTTCCCGAATGCGTAGCGAAGGGTTCCCGTTTATAGTTGGGGGTCTGGGGGTTGGAGCTGTGTTTGCATGGTTTGCGTCGTCTCGTGGTTTGTCGTCGTTTGTCGTCGTCGTTGCATCTCAAATTCGCTGCCATTGGGGGAAGCTTTTGCAAGTGACTTTGCATGGATGTGTCACGTGTCAGTTTGCGCCGTTATTCCATTGTGATTTGCATGACAACGACATGTCGCGCAAGAAACGTGATGCATTTCGCTGCACAGGCGCATTGTTTTGTGAGATCCGCAGATTGCTGCGCAGTTCCATTGGGATTAGCGTTTGGAGAGTCGTGTTTTTGGGGTGTTGGATGTGGCCGTGCCATTGGGATTTACGTTTCAGGGTGTGGCATCGAAGCTCGGTTTTCGTGCCAAGTCTCAGCTGAAATGGCGTTTTTTGTGGATGGGAGTGTGCTCAGAATGGGTCGAAATCATTCCAAACGTGTGGTGTGGTGTAAATTTTGTTGAAGCTCACATGAGATGATATTGTCACTTTTCGTGGCAGGCGCACAACTTTGTGCGGGTTTTGAATTGAGTCCACAAGCTGTTAGGGAGATAAGGGATTGCCCAGCTTATTCTATCCACGGGTAAGTGGTAGAAGTGGTAAGCTAAGTCCCTAGCAGCCCGGTCTACAGGTACGAGTGCACGGGGCGAGTCAGAAGAACCCGTGGCTGACAATGTAAGTTGCCGAACGAACGACGTGTGGCGGCCTGCGAACGAACGGACGAAGGACGGACAGAGTGCGGAAGCGAAAGCGACGAAAGCACGACCCCCACAGGGAGTACAGTGCGGCACCCACCGTTTTCCTTGAGCCACAATGTCACGAAACACATACACATTTGTGCATGTTCGTGTGAAACGTGACAAGATGAAATGCTTGTACATGCGGAGTACTGTTACACGTTAGGGGTCCGTGTAAAAATGACTCCCCCCTCCCCGTTGTGGGGTAGTACTCTTATGCACATGCACGAATTGCCGCGCCGGACGGCAGCGGTTACGACGACCTACGAAGGCTTCGAACTGCTTGGAAGGCTTCTATCTGTTTTGGATGGAGTCAAGTCTTTTAGGTCAGTGCGAATACCGAGTAAGCACAGCGCTTTGAACCACTTCTGGGGTGGTAGCGCTTTAGTGAAAATGTCAGCGGCTTGCTCATTGGTATCAATATACTTGATCTCGACAGATGGGTCGTCGATGCACTCTTTTAACGAACTCGTTCGGCTGATGTGTCTTAACTTAGGAGAAAAGCCTTTTCTTACTACTAGAATCGTTGCTTGATTATCCTCCTGTATTACGAGGTTAACGGCTCGTCCTAGGAGTTTGTCCCACAGTTGCATAGAGGGGAGACCCTCTTCGTACAACGAGTATGCGAGACTGATGACTTCTGATTCAGTAGTAGACCTAGACGTTGATGTCTGGCGCTTGGACACCCATGCCAAAGGAAAATGGGTGTTAGGTCCTTTAAGTACCAGATATCCACCGGAGGTGGATTTGACGTCGTGCTGATCGCCGCCAAAATCGGCATCCACGAACAACTCGAGCCACAACTCACTGGGATCGTCGCCGCAAACTGCGGTTAACCTATAATCCAGTGAATGTTGGATGTACTGGATTAACCGCAACAACTTTTTGTCATGTACGCGGGTCCATTTTTGTACTTTAGTGGCTAGGTCGTTAATTGGTTTGTTTGAGGATGTCGGGTCGTGCCAACCTAGCAAGCCAGAGGGCCTTCATTAGGATGGAGCACGCCTTTGGGGCGAGTTCTCCGGGAGACTCTTCATCAGCTTGGGTGAACGTACCATCAACAAGGAAGGGCGTTTGGGCCGATTTTATTTTGTCAACACCAGCCACCGACTTATAAAGGTCGATGGTTTGCTGCGCGTAGTCTTTCATGTCGAAGACTAGCGCGTCAGCACTGCCGCGCAAAGCAGCGGTCTCGGTGTATCCCGAGTCCTGAACCATGGCATAAACATGGTTGCGTCCTAAGATCCGGTAAATGGGCCCAGGCGGCTCGACATTAACTTCAGACCAAAACTTTTCATGTTGGTCACGGGGACCTGACAAAGTAAGGTCATCTACGTAAGTAGAGAGCATGAGCCGTGAGTTGGGGAACCAGAAATTTCCTGGAAATTCTGGGATTTCTTCCCCTCCCATTTTCCTCAAGATCTCCTTGAGGTGTTGCTCCCACATCCCCCCCGCGTCCGGGTGGCCGTAAAGAGCCTTAACCAAAAGGACTACCGGCTGTACAAACTCCTGTTTCCACCAGGCCGGTCGGAGCTCGGGTGGCAGCTCAATCCATGTTTTGTATTTGGATTTGAACGTCGCCTGGACGTATGCCTTGACTGCGTCAGCTGCAGAGGCATGCATTAAGGCCCTGGACTGAGGCGGGATTAGCTCCCAGCTCTTCGTATACCGCAGCTGCGCCGTGTTCATCTTTGGCGCAGTCTCCGCGGTACACGATGCGGCCCTTCTTCTTTTGTAATTCTTTGGCTAGCTCGAAGAACTTTATTGATGCAATCGTCATTAACTTACCAAAGTGAACTGATACACCCGAGGCTTTTGCTTCGGCTCGCACGTCTTCTTTTTCTCGGACAGACTCGTAGTGCCACGTGTCCTCCTTGACGAGACCAGCCGCTTCGTTTCTGACTTTCTGCAAAGCCTCCGGGTCATTAAGCATTTCAGTTCTACTTAAAAGTTTTGTGACCATGGCAGCGACCTCCTGCTCACCCTGTTTGGTGTGCGGGATCTGGTACGCTTCATGCATCAATGCGTTTATGTCCATCAGGCATTCTATCATTTGATCGACCGTCTCGTCGGTTTCGACCGCAATCGCCATTGCATCTATACCGGAAAGGGCAGAAACATGTCTCAACGCCTGTTCCTTATGCCTATGCTCAAAATCATGTTGACATGGAAAACATGGCATAGCCGGGGTGACAGGGGTATGGGTCATGTTGGGATACAATGCCCTTGCAATCTCGACAGTCATTTGTCTGGGATAGAATGCCGTTCGAGCTGTTTGGGAACCAACTGCATGATCGTGCTCGTGCGGCTTGTGGGAACACTGAAATTGTGAAAACAAATCTACGATCGCTTTACTGGTGGTCATTAGGCGCCATCTTTTCTTGATTGGTCGGCCTCTAGTAGACTGAATGCCAACAGCGCATCCATCGAACTCAACTGGCATGACTTCAGGATGGTTATCGAAAAATTGTTTCACATCTGGCCTCAGCCAGCTCTCGCATCCCTTCGGCCATTCAAAGGTCACGGTGCCCTCTCAAGCGAGCGTGAGCTCGGCAGACTTAGCAAACTCACAAGAGTGTCCCACAAGAGTGTCCATAAGTCCATAAGAGTGTCCCACAAGAGTGTCCCTTAAGAGTGTCCGACAAGAGTATCCCACAAGAGTGTCCTACAAGAGTGTCCCACAAGAGTGTCCCACAAGAGTGTCCTACAAGAGTGTCCCACAAGAGTTTCCTACAAGAGTGTCCCACAAGAGTGTCCTGCAAGTGACCCACAAGAGTGTCCCACAAGAGTGTCTCACAAGAGTATCCCACAAGAGTGTCCTACAAGAGTGTCCCACAAGAGTGTCCTGTAAAAGTGTCCCACGAGAGTGTTCCACAAGAGTGTCCTGTAAAAGTGTCCCACAAGAGTGTCCTACAAGAGTGTCCCACAAGAGTGTCCCACAAGAGTGTCCCACAAGAGTGTCCTACAAGAGTGTCCCACAAGAGTGTCCTACAAGAGTGTCCCACAAGAGTGTCCCACAAGAGTGTCTCACAAGAGTGTCCTACAAGAGTGTCCCACAAGAGTGTCCTACAAGAGTGTTCCACAAGAGTGTCCTGCAAAAGTGTCCCACGAGAGTGTTCCACAAGAGTGTCCTGTAAAGGTGTCCCACAAGAGTGTCCCACAAGAGTTTCCTACAAGAGTGACCCACAAGAGTGTCCCACAAGAGTTTCCTATCAGAGTGTCCCACAAGAGTGTCCTACAAGAGTGCCCCACAAGAATTTCCTACAAGAGGGACCCACAAGAGTGTCCTACAAGAGTGTCCCACAAGAGTGTCCCACAAGAGTGTCCTATAAGAGTGTCACACACGAGTGTCCCACAAGAGTGTCCTACAAGAGTGTCCCACAAGAGTGTCCCACAAGAGTGTCCTACAAGAGTGTCCCACAAGAGTTTCCTACAAGAGTGTCCCACAAGAGTGTCCCACAAGAGTGTCCCACAAGAGT